TAGATCCAGGAGATCAGTATCTGTTTAATAGGAATTTCAGCTGTAAAAAGTATGCACATATTATGAAGCATCTACACTAATAAAAGAGAAAGATGCAAATTGACCATACCTTCATCATGCCAAACAGCCAATCAGGAGTGAGTATGCAAATTAACCCAACAAAGAAGGGTTAATTTGCATAGCAGGTGCCGAGCGGCCGGGGGCAGGGCAGGATGCAGGCATTCCGCACAGCCCCAGCTGCTCTGGGCCTCAGGGCAGCGTAGGGAGGTGGAAAGGTGGCTCCAGCCAGGAGTGAAGGTGGAAAGGTGGCTCTGGCCCAGAGCGAAGGCGGAAAGGCGGCTCCGGCCCGGAGCGAAGGTGGTGCTGGCAGCTAGCAGAAGGAAGGTCCATTCTTGCATGAGTCTTCTTGCATCAGTCTACTAGTTAGATAATAAAACAGTAGAATAAACTTTTCTTGGGCTGAAGAAAGCCATCAAATAAGATACACTGGGATCAAGTTTCTGGTAAAATCAAATACTGGTAAAACTTACGAATTCCAAAAGTGAAAAAAAATCAAATTTTCAGATAAAGTAAGCAGGCTTACCCTAATCAAAAAAGATTCAGATTGGTATCTGATTTTTCTTATGCAGCACTGGATATTAAGAAACAGTGAAAAACGCCTTTATCCTACATAATAAAAGGCTAATATGCAAATAGACTGAACGGTGGAATGACTGGTTGCTATGACATTCACTGACCACCAGGGGGCAGACTCTAAATACAGGAGCTGCCCCCTGGTGATCAGTGTGCTCCCACAGGTGGAGCATGCTCAGCCAGAAGCCGGGTTCACGGTTGGCGAGCGCAGTGGCGGTAGCAGGAGCCTCTCCTGCCTCCACAGCAGTTGGACATCCCCCGAGGGCTCCTGGGCTGCAAGAGGGTGCAGGCTGGCCTGAGGAACCCTCCCCCACACCTGGAGTGCACGAATGTCGTGCACCAGGCCTCTACTTCTGATATAAAAGTGTTATGAAGCAAAAACTGTTTTTTAGGAGAAAGGCAAAATATATATATTTGTTCCAAAGTACTGAACTGTTATACTTGGAAACTTAGATAAATGAATATATTGTTGGAAGTACTTATGCAAAATATCAGGATAAAGAATTCTGGACACAAAAAGAGAAAGGTACAGGAATACCTCAGAGATATCATGGGTTTGATTCCAGACCACTGCAATAAAATGACTATCAAAATTAAGCGAGTCATAATTTTTTGCCTTCACTATGTAAAAACACAACATCTTTGAAACAATAAAGTGAAGCACAATGAAACAAGGCAGGCCTGTATCCGTTAACCATTGATGAATAAAACTAAACAACAAACCAAAACCTAATCAAACAGTGAAATTCATGCTTAAATCCAAAATATTGTTAATTTACTTTGAAATCTAACTCTAGAGAAAATATTCCTAATAAAATGAATGAGATGAAAAAATGACAATTAGGAGATGAATTCTAGATGATTTGATAATAAAAAATAGTCTAGCAGATGAGATTGTGATGAAATGGGGGAAATAGAAGAATACTATGAATAGTATACTATTCAAATATTTCTACTTATAGAATTATATGAGTGAATACTTTTTACTTGATATTTTTGAAAGTATATAGGTGAAAGTACATGTTAAAAATTTGAAGAGGCATTTATTAAGAGATGGCAAAAGCTCTCAACTTTCTCCACATGTATTTGAAATGATTAAAATGTATTCTTTTTTAAAAAAAATTTAGACCTATAGTAGCACTGGGCAACAAGAAAGGGTAAATTGGTGTAGCACATTTTGGGAAATTCCATGAAGATAGAAAACAGATGGAATGAGAGGAGCAAAGAAAAAAGAGCAGAGAAAGGGAGAAGTTTTTCTACAGTGGACCTCAGGAAATTACATTTCTGTTAACATTTTCAAAGTTTTGGAGTGGTCTGTGAGTAGTTATCAGAGCAGCTAATTTAAAAACTGTCTGTAGCAGCTGAGGTTCACCCTTCCTCATTTGTACTGAATGATTATCAGCTGGAAATAGTATTTGTCTCTAGGATAGAGTCGTGGCTTCTGTTCTGCAGATAATGAGAAGACTCCTGGTAATTGGGGTTGGAGAGAGTTGCAGAACAGAGCCAGAGAATTCTACCAAGACACAGAGTAGAGGTGAAGGGAAGGGAAAGATAACATGGTCCCACATATGAGAAATGCATTAAAATGTTCTACCTCAAAATTAGAGTCTTCCTGGTATTGGCAATCTTGGGGGTTCCAGCCTACGACCTGCTTTATGACCACATGTTGTAAAATAAAACATGCCTCTTGATATGCTTCCCCAGCTCACATTCATCCTGACATCAGCTCTCTCATTCTGGGAGGTTGCCTTCAGAGAGGGACAGACTGTATTGGAGAAAACTAGGCCAATTAGTTAGCTTCAGAACACCACTCACATTTGCAGTACCAAGGATCATCAGAAAAACAACAATACAAATAAACTATGAACTAAGATAAAAAGTGATGCCTGGAGGATGGGAATGATACAAGCAATAGATAGAACATAATGGTACTTATTTATATTTTTGGTAGGCCATCACTAAGTGTCTATTGACTTAGAAAAGAAATATAGCCAGGCTATTATGGCTCAGTGGTTGAGTGTTGAACTATGTGAACCAGGAGATCAAGGTTCAAGTCAAGGTCAGGGCACATGCCCAGGTTTTATGCTTGATCCCCAGTAGGGGGCGTGCCGATCGATGATTCTCGCTCATCGATGTTTCTATCTCTCCCTCTTCCTCTCCTTGAAATCAGTAAAAACATATTTTTAAAAAACATATTTTATAAAAATTAAATATAAATGGTTTTGAAATATAAACATTCTCAAATTTACTCATTGTAAAATAAAATAAAATTTAAACTAAAAATGGATGGGTTTTTTTAGAATAAACAGTTTGATAATAGATGGTAATAGTGAGGAAACCAATACTGTATCATAAATGTAATTTGTATCTTCAGAGAGATATGAGGATAAAATAGCTTAAAAAATAAGTCAGACTGTCCTGAAGCAATCAGCAGAGTTGTCAGGAGCAAAAATATGATTGCTAACATTTTTTTAAAAGGAAGAGCTAAAAGCTGAGTTAATGATTTAGAAAGAAAGTGGGGGAAACATCCTATAATCTAAGGATTAAAAAGTGGATGTAAAAAATGTGAGCAAATGTTTAAGAGACATGAGGCATGGAACCAGGTATTTCCATTTTCAGAGTTGATTAGAGAAGGGGAGAGAATGAGCAAAGAAATAGTAGAGCACAATGCCTAGATGCAAGGGAGTGTTATATAAACATTTGAAAAGATGAGTGAGATCATTATGTGCCATGTGAAAAAATGGTCAAGATATATTAAAACAAGAAGCAAGAACAGTCTATTTGTGGTCAGAAATATATGTATGTTCAAATATGCACAAGAAAGAGGAAAGGACATGAAATTTTAATATGATTTTCTTAAAACAATGTTTTATAAGGAGCATATTTTTATTTAAAAAATTAAGCACTAAAAGTTATGTTGGAGAGAAGGAGAGATGAGCAACATGAGGGTAGCAGTCGTTACCTAAAGTGGTAGCACTTTAATTTACATATAGTCTCCTCTAGTTTTATTTGTGATATACTTTTCTTTTATTATTTTCTTAGCAATCATCTCCTTCACTCATTATTTCTAGGCTCTCACAGAAGTGTATTTTCACATACTTCTCTTAAACTTTTTTACTCAGAATATCAGGGTAGGTTTTGGTTAGTTCTTTCATTGCATGTAGATTTTATGAGAGATGATATATATATATGGAGAATACCTTAAAGTAAGGATACTTTCTAGGTGTTGCTTTATTAATAAAGAGTAATATCAACCCAACATCTTTTGTGGAATGGGCCAGGATATAAATAAATTAAAATAATAAGTAGCAAAGGGAAAAATAAGGAGAATGATATATTCAAGATTTTGAGGGATATAATGATGGGATTTTTTTGGGTTGAGAGTAGAAATTGCTCAATATCAGAATAGTAACATGTAATGTAATCACCTGGATTAACTGAAAGGCCCCATCCCTTTTTGTGAGGAGATGGATATGATCCTTGATCTCAATATGCCACATCTACTATAAACTTCTGAATCCTCCACCATCATTCAGGATGCATCTCTAATGGTTGAAGAAGTGGTGGAGGACAACATGGAGAGAGTGCCTGAGGATCCTTGCCTGGGACAATTTATGGGAAGAAAAATCTTACAGGTATTCTTCTTCTTATGTATTTTACCTGGTTGCTGTGTTTTGGTTGGATAAAATAATTCTGTGGGGAGTGGCTAGTGGAGGGTGGCGTGGGAGATGGGAAAGTTGGGGTGGAGCTATCTTCTTTTGTAAGGGTGGTAAAAAAAGTAGGAAAGAATATTAGCATCTTTTTGTATTTCTTTTTCTGCTCTTGCACAACTTTGCTTCACAATATAGGAAGTTGTCTCGGAGTTCTTGAATCATAGACTCACTTCTATGGTAATCAGATTCACCAGGAACATTTAGGTACATAGCATGATGACATAATAGTATTAGTTAGCAGCGACTTTTAGAAACCAATGAAAATGTTTAGATGTGAAAACTGTATTGAATTTTAAATATTGTAGTATATGTTTAAACCTCTTACTTGTAATTGATGATTTCTTTGGCTATTTAACCATTTAACACTGACTTCTCAGGCGTGAAAATGTTTTACACTGCTAGCAGTTAAATTGTTGATTAATTGGAACTCTTAAGTCTTACATTCTTGATTTTTCCCTAGAATAGCAGAGACTTAAGTGCCAAGAGTTCAGTGAATGGCTTCTAAGATAGCTCTAGTCTTAGTGCAGCTTAAAAATATTGCACAAAGATTTTTTTTTCTTCAAACCATATAGTAGGGAATTTCATAGAGATTTTCTAGATATTTACTTATTGAGGTTTTAGAAATGCTATTTTCAGTTGTACTCCTGACAATTTATAATTCTGTTTTGCTTTTTAAGTGATAATATAAGAAATATGCATGAGTATGTGGGGGGAAGTTGTTTTTGAAAAACTTGGAGCAGTGGGAACTTATACCTGTAACAACTCAATTAGAGGATATGAACAAAGATATGTCAATAAAATTGGTCAAGCGAGAGTTTTATTTTTTCTTTCAGTGAAAATAAGTGTTATTAGATAATTTTGTATCATTTTTCTCTCTTTTTTCCCCCCTCTAGCTTGGTTACAATGAAAAGACCTCTTTTATCTCATCTTGTCTTCCAATTCATTTTTTATCAAGAAATTCTCATTGAAGACTCCTTGAGAAGAGTCTGTTTTGAAGAAGGAAAGGGAAATACTGTTGAGACAAGAAGGCAAACAGAGCAAAAAAGTGATAGAAACATATATTTTTTATTGTGTGCCAATAGGACTTCACAGAATGAACATGGAGAGCTGAGAAGGAAGAAAATTAAGAAATGACCGAATTTCGTGGGTCCTGATGGAAAAATGTTGGCCGTCTACTAAAGCAGAAAGGCAGTTGATGCTTTAGTTCCAGGATTCTCTGTCTGCTGTGTGTAGTTATCATAAACTGTTTTCACTTTCATAATCAATCCTTTGTCCTCTGAGAGTGATGGTACTCTTGCCTCTTTTTGAGCAGTACTTCAAAAGATGAATGAAAATACAGTCTGCCAAAACCTAAAAAGTACATTTATTTATCATAGAACTTTGCAAGGTACCCCTCTTGTTTTTAAAATTCTGTAGAGCTCAAAACCAACCACTCATTGTAGAGTTTTTTTAAATCAATAAATATATTTTCAAGATGAAGTATGATAATATTCTGGTCAGTTTTCTTCAATTTGATATCTATAGAAAGCTTGATAAAACAGGTTTTAATTTTTACATTTAAAAATTGTGCTATTTCTGATGTTTAGTTATATTATTTTCTGTTTTGTTGAGATGTTAAATGATCATATTTTACTGTATATGACAAAAAATTTTTAAAATAGTAAAATATGTTGTAATGAGATATGCATATTAATTTTCTACTTAATATTGTTTGTTTTTGGTATAAATCCTGATCCTAAATGACAAATTTATCTCAAATATTGGTGTTATATAGGAAACATCTTATGCATTTGGCTTGTGTGTGTGTTTTTTAAATTTAAATTTTGTCTATAATTCTTTTCTAAATTATGTAAATCATACTCTATTAGGCAGCTTCTCCTTGGAAGAGGACTTTTTTTTTGAACCTATAATTGGTTGTTTTAGTTCTCCAGGCTAATAATACGAACTCTGAACCTTGTCCTAATTCTTCAGTCTTTCCCTGTTTTAAGAACTTTTAGAAGAGATTGTGATCCATTTTGAACATAATATCTCAGTTGTCAAGAATGTGTTCTCCTGAGCCTTTCTCCAAAGAGGATTTCTGGATCAAAAGTCCTTTTCATATACTGGGTTCTCTTCTGAGTGCTCTCTTATTAATTCACTGACTATATGTCTATGTAAGGGTATAACTTTGTTTCAACGTGACATAGTCAATGATACAGACATGTTTATCACTGCATTGCTGGTAGTGACAAAACGCTAAAAATAACATTAATGTACATCAAGAGGGAGAATGGTTGCAATGCAATATCGTGGAGCTCTTAAAAAATGGGTTCTATGATTTTTTTTTCTTTTTCTAATCCTCACCAGAGGATATGTTTCTATTGATTTTTAGAGAGAGAGAAACATCAATGAAAAACATTGATCAGTTGTCTCCTGTACACACCTTGACTGGGATTGAACCCGCAACCTAGGGATATGTTCTCAACAGGAATCGAACCTGCAATCTTTTTGGTGTTTGGGATGACGGTCCAACCAATTGAGCCACCTGGCTGGAGCCTTTGTTTTCATTTTTTAAGGAATGTCTGTGATGTTTTAATACGTGAGGAAAGCTAGTTATAACTCACAGAGTACTCTATTTTTAAAAACATGTTTTTATAGAGCATATTGCATATATTTGAAATAAAAAAAGGTATAATTATCTTGATATATGGGATGGAGGATAAAGAAGGAATAGAGATGACCTTTTTTTCCTTTTCATATATTTGTATTATTGTATTGGCTTCAGTGAAACTGTTACTTTTATAATTTTTGAGGAAGAGTCTAAGAATTAAGGAAAAATTACTTAAATGCAGTCGTGTATCTTATAATTTTATAGAATAATTTAATAGAGAAAAGTGAAAATACTTAATGTGGCCAATGATATACATAATCTGCCATATAGGAGATAATGAGTCAGTGTTAGTATGCACATTTGAAATTTGGTCCAAATTCTTAGTGTAGGGACTAGTTTCAGTTTAATCTGCTTTCTTTTCTTAGCCTCAGTGCCATTGCATTTGAGACACTAAATTACCAAACAAAATTTTATTGAATTTGCCTCTATCCCTTCTCTCTAATTCTTCTTAGAAAGGAGCAGGCAAAGGGGGAGTATTCAGCAGCATAAAGAGGAGAAGATGAATGGTATTTTTTTTTATTGATTATGGTATTACATATGTGTCCTTATCCCCGCCTTGCTTTGAATTCTGCGTGGACCTGTTCTGATCAAAAGCTTTCTGGGCCTCCATTTGCTCAGCTGTGAGATAAGGAGTTTGGACTCATGAATACAAAGGGTTGTCCTGGAAATAGGTTTACATAAATAAAAAATCCTTACAGAAGAGAGATTTGAATAGGTTTATCTTTTTAGAGTGATGGAATTAATGCAGTGATACATATGGATGTGAACTTGGGCATTATTTTGGATGACTAGAATATTAGAATATTTTTCTTTAAGATCTGGTAACTGCTACACAATGATAATTATTACAGTAGCAAATATCTATGGCTGTATTAGGTTTGTACAGTTAACATCATGAGCTCATAGGGTGTAAGTTTTAAAATATAACAATTTAAAACATAGCAAAGTGACAGGCAATAGATATGGAAGTGTTAGGAAATAATATTGAAGAAAACAAAAGCCTGACATTAATTTTGTATTATGCATTGGAATTGTGTATATAACTTTTAAAAACTAATCACAGTTTCCTTGAGGCAGAAACATCATGTCTGTGGGATAGAGATGAAATTTTACTCTTAAACTTCTCATGTCAAGTCATTGAACCCAGTCTTCACAGTTAGAGGTTATATTTACTTTTCATTTTAGTCTCCACTAACTCTTTCCATAAGTTTGAATAATTATAAATTCCTCAGATTATCTTATTACTTGGTTATAAACTTAATAAATTATATTCTAATCTTTTTCTCCTTTCAACTAGATTATCAAAGATTGTGAAACCCAAACTTTCTAAATTTCAGTTTTATACAATATTATAAATCAAGTTTGTAATATATGTTTGTGTACAGCATGAACTGTAAACTGATTTATAAGTTGTGGTTCTGTATTTCACATCTGTATATTCCAAACACTTGTCTGTTATTTGCTTTTTATTATAATGTATAGGATTATTATAAAGACTGAAAGAGACTGTGAATAGAAATACTTTGAAAATAAGCAAGATTATACCAACAAATTATTTTATTCAGTGGTTAAAAAAGATTAGAGGGCCCATAAGTATGTTCTTAAGGGCTGAAAATCTTTTGAAAATCATTTACTTATGCTAGGTGTGGTTTTATGGTTCAGTGTTATGAATAGCAATATTTCTGTTTTCCTTAGAAAATTGAGATGATTCTACTAGATGATTAACCGACTCTACCAGTCCAATATAGTGCAATATGGAAATATATAAGATGTAAATTTTTAATTTTATTTTTATTGATTTCAGAGAGAAAGGGAGAGGGAGATAGAAACATCAATGATGAGAGAATCATTGACTGGCTGCCTCCTGTACGCCCCACACTGGGGATTGAGCCCACAACCAGGGCATGTGCCCTGACTGGGAATCGAACTGTGACCTCTTGGTTCATAGGTTGATGTTTAACCACTGAGTCACATCAGACTAGGCAAGATGTAAAATATTTAAATATGAAAAAAATTAAAGTTAATCCATATACTTTTACGAATAGTTAAAATTTGTTAACTAAAGTGGCTCTGAAAATACCTAATATTATTTCAAAGTTGACACATCAATGTGTGACCTTAAGGTATTGAAGTTTGTTACACTTTTGTTTCTAAGTCAACTTAGCCAAAACTAAACTTACTATCTTTGTTTCAGAAAGCCTATTCATCCTTACCCTTATTTTGGAGTTGTCTCAATTTATCATATAGTATTCTCCAGTAACACTTACTTCTAGCAGGTTCTAAATTATTAAAATTTCTTCTCTAAAATGCCATTTGTTTATGCCTTTATTTCTGTCACCCCTGCCACTACTGGAGATTATGCTCTAAAGATTTTAAAATATATATATATTTTTTATTGATCTCAGAGAGGAAGGGAGTGGGAGAGAGAGATAGAAACATTAATGATGAGAGAGAATCATCGATTGGCTTCCTCCTGCATGCCCCTGACTGGGGACTGAGCCTGCAACCCAGGCATGTGCCCTTGGCCTGATTTATAAGGAATCGAACTTGGGACCTTTCAGTCCGTAGGCTGATTTGACACTCTATCCTTTGAGGCAAACTGGCTAGGGCTTTAAAGATATTTTATTTGGATTATAATGCCACACTCAGAACTCATCTTCCTCCTGTCTTTTAAAGTCATGCTCTATCCCATCCATACCTTCTCAAAGCAATCTTTCTAAATGTAAATCTGATCAAATTATTCTTTTGGCATCTTACCCTTTAAAGACCTTTTTTTTTAAAAGATATATTTTATTGATTTTTTACAGAGAGGAAGGGAGAGAGATAGTTAGAAACATCGATGAGAGAGAAACATCGATCAGCTGCCTCCTGCACACCCCCAACTGGGGATGTGCCCGCAACCCAGGTACATGCCCTTGACCAGAATGGAACCTGGGACCTTTCAGTCCGCAGGCCGATGCTCTATCCACTGAGCCAAACCAGTTTCGGCTAAAGACCTCTTTTGATAAAGGACTAAACTCATATAAAGGGCCTCCTTATGATCCTGCAAGATCTTTGGGTGCACATAACTGGTTCAGATTCCTGCTCCACCCTTATCACTGTGACCTCTAGTAAGTTTAGACTTCCTTAGTTTCCTCAGTTTATGAGAAGAGGTGATTATAGTCACCTCCCTTGTAGGATTATTGTAAGAATTTTATATACCTCAAAGTGCTCAGTATTTTGGTTGACTCATAGTGTTACTACTTCTTGTCATTACTTCTCCAGCCTCATAGCTCTTAACTCTCCTTCCTCTATAGCAGTGGTTCTCAACCTGTGGTCACAACCCCTCTGGGGGTCAAATGACCCTTTCACAGGGGTTGCCTAAGACCATTGGAAAAACACATATATAATTACATGCTGTTTTTGTGATTAATCACTATGCTTTAATTATGTTCAGTTTGTAACAATGAAATTGGGGGTCACCACAACATGAGGAACTGTGTTAAAGGGTGGAGGCATTAGGAAGGTTGAGAACCACTGCTCTATAGTATTATCCAAAGCACTTCTTAAAAATTTTTAATTATTTTAAAGGTCTGATTTTTTTTTTGAGGTGAAACCAGTTAACAAAATTATACAGGTTTCAGGTGTACAATTCCACAACAAATCATTGTGTGTTCATCACCCCAAACGAAGTCTCTGTCCATCACCATTTATCCCCCCATGCCTTCCTTCACACCCTCCCACAATCACCAAACTGTTGTTCTTGTCCATGAGTTCTCCTGCCTTTTTTCTTTTTTACTCAATCCCCCAGCCACCCACTAAGCTGTCAGCCTGTTCTCTACCCATGAGA